ACCAAATTACAGCTATTCCACAACCAGGCAGGCCACCAAAATTAACAGAAAGAGATGTTAGACATCTTATAAAAATCATTAAAAAAGACTATTAACAGTCTTTAAATGAAATAACAGAAAAATTTAAAGATTTATCAATAAATCCAGTATGTCAGAAAACTGTAAGAAGTGTTTTACATTCTGAGGGTTTTTTTGGTTGAGCAGGTAAGAGAAAACCATTAGTTTTTAAAGTAAATTGTAAAAAAAGATTAGAATGATATCACGAAAGAAGAAATTGGGATTCTAAGTGGGATTCAATTATATGAAGTAATGAATCCCGTTTTTTATTATTCCAAAATAATGCTCATTATTAGGTTTGGCATAGGCCACATGAAAAATTTGATGTAAATTGCTTAATTCCAATAGTAAAATCAGGAAATCAAGATGTTATAGTATAGGGATGTTTTGCGAAAGATAAACTTGGTCCTTTAATTCAAGTTTCTGGTAGAATTACAGATTCTGTATATATTGATATGTTAAAAAATACTTTTTTACCATTTTATAACAGTTTTAAAAATAATTTACAATATATTTTTCAAGATGATAATGCTTCAGTTCATAGAGCAAGTGCAGTTAATCAATAGAAAGAGAGTAATTCAGTATTAAGTTTTCCGTGACCTGCATAAAGCCCAGATCTTAATCCAATTGAACATCTATAGGATGTTTTAGAAAGAAAAGTTCGGATACACAAACCTCATCCAAAAAATATTAGGGAATTAATGATAGTTTTAGAAAAGGAATGGAATCAAATTGAATCTGAAATTTTAGTAAATTTAGTTGAAAGTATACCACGAAGGGTTTAAGCTGTAATAGATAGTCATGACAATCCAACTAGATACTAATAATATAAATAAAAAATATGAGCTTTTCTGCATTACATATATAAATTTTGTAAAAATTTTATTAATAAATTGTTAAATAATAAACGTCAAAATCAGCTATAATTTCAAATGATCAGTAAATGATCAGCAAGTGGTCGGATATTTTTTGGAAGGAGTACATTTTTTAGGATTACATTAAATAGATGCTTGCATTCTATGTAATACTTTAATTGATGTCCTCTTTTTTTTGCCTAGGTGATCGTGATAATAATATTCCCTATCTAATGCTCTGAACGGTTCAGTTCAATCTGAATTATAGACTAATCCAAAACCAAACTAAAAATTTCAATTTGGTTCAGTTCAGATTAAAAATCTTAAAAATACCAATCTGAAACTGAACCAAACCATAAACTGGTAAAAATCTGAACTGAACTGAAAATTTCAGATTAATCTAAAATTTTAAATCATTTAGAATAATAACTTTAATTGTTCCAAATAAATGATTCTTTTATTGTTCTTTTAGAATGATAATTTAATTATTCTAATTAAACAATTTTCTTATCGTTCGTTTAGAATGATAATTTGATCATTTTAATTAAACGATTTTCTTATCATTCATTTAGAATGATAATTTCATCATTCTAATTGAATGATTTTTTTATCATTCATTTGAAACAATAGTTTCATTGTTCTAATTGAATGATTCTTTATCATTTGTTTGGAATGATAAATTTAATTGAAATTTTCAGTTCAGTTCAGATTTTTTCAGTTCAGATTAGATTTATAATTCGAAAATAATCTGAACTGAACCGAAAATTTTCAGATTGAATTTTTTGCAATCTGAAACTAAACTGAAGTTGATCTAAACCAAAAATTTTTGGATTAATCTGAACTATTTGAAGCTTTATCCCTATCTTTATAGCTTAATCAACAGGATCTTTACCATAACTTCCTGAGATTTCATACTGAGAATAAACCTTATTTTACCTTTATATATTGATATTACACTATAAATGATATAGAAATATATTTACAATGGATAACCTCATTAGCACTAGTGATATATTAGGATGTCTTATACAATCTCAAAAATTCACTTATAATGATTTCAGATTTCTTCTAGCGTTTTCTTAACATCTCTAATAAGGTAAGTAGCTCATTATAATCATATACTTTCAAGTCGAAAAATATCTTCATCTTATTAAACCTCTATGAGGAGAATAATTGTTGAGCTATTGTGAAAATACAAGATTAAAGCTGTTAGTATCTGTTACGTAAAAAATAGAATATGGTAAATATTAAATATTACTTATATGTATTCACGATAATTGGGAGGTCTACCTTAAATTTTTGAAACAAGATTATATACGTTAAATCCTTATCATTGATCAAGCGAATGGTTGAACGTTTTTTTCACTACCACTTTTACAATTAATAACAATATGTTTATCCTCAATTCCATCTGAAAAAGTGAAATAAGTACAAAGTCTCATTTTCAAAACTGACAAGATTATTTGCCCATGAGTTACTGCTCATAAGAATTTTTAGCTTGTAATGATCATACATTACGGTATAATGAACTTCTTTCATTTTAACAGGATATTGTATGACAATATATATGAGTTTGTCAGCTGACTGAAAGGTAAAATGTTTGTTAATCTTTGAAAAAGATGGAAGTTTTACATTACTGAACTCATCCTTGATATTAACATTAATTTTTGTATTAATAAGATTAAGTTTTTCATTTTTTTCTTCAAGGGAAATATCGACCTTTCATAGTTTGAGTTTATTTATAGTGAAATTATTAAATTCAGATACTTTTTTCTTTTTGATAGCTTTTCTGAGTTTACTGATCACCTCAGTCTTATTAACTTTTACATTGAAAGCATTTTCATAAGGTTTTCTCCTATAACCAAACAACTGAAAGTAATAGTTGAAATATGATGCAGGTCATCTAAAGTAGACACAAAAATTGTATGTCTTTAAAAATCAATAACTTTCAAATTATTATAGTTATAAAAAAAATAATCTGATAGAATAAAAGAGAAGAATCTAAACTACCATTCTATCAGTTTACATTTTTATTAGTATAAATATTTCAAAAGTTATTGTAATTTAAAGTTGAAAATTTTTTATATAAACATATATGTAAATAGCAAAATTTTGAAATAAAGTTTTATCATGTAATTGCAATCTGACCAATAAAATTGATTTATTATGAAAATAAGCCGCACAATGTAAATGATATTCTCATTGTGATTTTTTTAGTGAGAAAATTTTTCATTGAATTTTTTAACAAAAAGGTTTTTTATATATTGAATTTTGTAAGAAAATTTTTTTTTTTATTGAAATGTAAAATGTGCTGTATTTCTAAAAAAAAAAAACACTTTTAAAACTCAAAAAAGAAAGTATAACAGCTGTTTTGACAGCAAAAAAAACACAGAGTTTTTTGAACTTAACACTACTGCCTCTGACGAATGTTGAGATAATGACAGTAGTGAAGATATTCCATTAAGTTTTATGGAACAACAACAAGAATATAAAGCTCATCTTATTAATATTCCTTTAAATCTTAAATAAAAGTTTAATAATGATTTGGAAAAAAGCAAACGAGAGCAATATTTAACTAAAAAAACTAAAAAATCAATCTAGTATGATAAATATGGACTAAACGGTATATTTACCAAAGCAGCCATTAATATACCTAAATTAGAAAATTAGTTTTTAGTAGATACTAAAACCTCTTTACCAACCTCTTCATCAACCTTCTCGCCAACTTCTTCATTAGCCTTTTCACTATCCTCTTCATTAACCTCCTTACCAATTTTTAAAGAAACTGACAAACCTGAAGATGATGATAATAAATCTAAAAAAGATGATAATAATGAAGCAAAATTAATAATTCTTTACAACAATTTGCTTAATAATCAAAAAATAATGAATGCTTTTGAATATAATCAAAAAGGGCAATTTTTGAATAATTAAAAAGATTAGGTGATAGTGGTAAAATGGAAGCTAGTAAATAAGCTGCAAATATAGTTTTTTTAAAAAAAATATCAACAACAATATATTTAGAAAAGCAAATCTGTAAATGGGCAAAATATTGGTTAAAAACAGAAACACTTCTAATTTCTCGTAGAGGATGTCATTAAAAAATAATTTGTATTATTGATGATAAAGATATAGCAAAAAAGTGTAAACAATGATTACAAAAACAAAATAATAAAATTACTCCTTTTGAATTTAAAAATTTTATCAATAAAGTTCTTTTAGCAGAAGTTGGAGTTATAAAATCTTCAATTAGTTTAAGTACAGCATAATATTGGTTACAAGTATTGGGTTATAAATATTAAATGTATCATCAAGACATTTATTATGATAGATATGAGCATGATGATATAGTTGCATATAGAAAAATATTTCTTGAAAGAATAACGGAGTTTGAACAATATATGACTACATATAAAGGAGATTCTATGGAATGTATTTTACCAGTTTTAAAAGAAGGAGAAAAGGAACATATATTGGTTACTTATGATAAATGTATCTTTTATGCAAATGATGATTCAAAAGGTGTTTGGATAGAAGATAGAATGTTTCACTTAAGAAAAAAGGGTAATAGAAGATCTATTATGATTTCAGAATTTTTAACAGAAGCTATTGGATGTCTTTAAATATCACAAAATTAATAATAATATTATTCTAATATTTCTCATGAAGCTCATATAATATTTAATCCTTAAAAAAACCAAGAAGATTATTGGACAGCTAATCATGTTGCAGAATAATTAAAAACTAAAGCAATTCCAATTTTTAATGCACTTTTTTCAAATTATATTGCTATCTTTACTTTTGATAATAGTTCTAATCATAGTGCTTATTCTGATAATACACTTATTACAAATCAGATGCTTTTTAAATGATGAAGAAGGAAAAGCTAAAAAAATTTATTATATGCATTCAACTGTTTTTGGTCCAAATAATATATCATAACCTATGGTATTTCCTAATGATTATGAAGTTATAACATTATAAGGAAAGCCAAAAGGTATGAGAACTGTATTAATTGAAAGAGGATTATAGAAGCAGGGTTTATTAGTTAATTGCAAATTATGTAAGAAAAAAATTATTGATAATAATAGAATTGATTGTTATACAAGAAGAATTATTTTATTACAACCAGATTTTCTTAAACAAAAAAGTCTTTTAGAAGAAATTGTTGAAGAAGCTAGACATCAAATAATTTTTTATCCTAAGTTTCATTATGAACTTAATTTTATAGAAAGATATTAGGAAGGAGCGAAAAGATATGTAAGATAACATTGTGATTATTCTTGGTCAGATTTGCAATCTATTGTTCCTAATGCTTTAGAATCAATTGATGTAGTGATTATTAGATGATTTGCAAGAAAATCATTTAGATATATAAATATATATAGAAAAGGATTAACAGGCAAATTAGCAGAACATGCAGTTAAGAAGTATAAATCACATAGATATATTTCTGATTATATATTTGAAGAATTGGATAAGATAGATAAATAAATAAATAAATCTTTTTTTTTTTTACTTTTATTTTTTATTTGTTTTTTATAATTTTTTTTAATAATTTATATATATAATTTTGTGTAACTCAAATTTTAAATTTCAGAATGTGACGCAGCAAAGTAGTCTTTAGATGACCTGCACCATAACATTTTTATAAGGAATTTGGGTCAGATAAAAAAATAGTGTTACATTTTAGAGTGAGATAAAAATTTATTTTTGAGATAGGAAAATAAGCACTAATATATATTTTTATATCACATAAGCATTATATCATTTTACATAACCTATTTTCTCATATACTTGTAAATTAATACTTTATTTATAAATAAATTGTTGCTAAAAGTCAGCTTACAATACATAAAAATTAGCTGTTAAGATGCTTTATACAAATATATCACTTTATATGATACAAATAAAATACTATTTTTAACGTGAATATTATTTAAATTTATTTTTGCTTCTCAAATACTTATTACCAAATTAATGACAGTTAGATTTCAGCTATAATGTTAAGTAAAATATCTGGCTCAGTAAAATTAATTATTTATTCAGCTTCTTAATATAATCCTCAAGTTCTAATGCTTATTTTAGTATTATTCATATTTCTTAAAATCCTATCTGGTTAACTTGAGAAATGAATTACCGGTGATTTCTTTCTCATCAAGTTTTGTAAAAAAGTTATTGTCAAGTTCTAAATCTTCTGATTTGAAATCCTCTCGCAAAAACTTGATAAGTCTTTTCGTTTTATATTTTTCAATTCTGTCAGCTAGAGTAAAGATAGAAGATATCTTACTTTCTTAAATACAAGACCCATTTAAGAAAAAACTCGCTCTCAAACATATATAACTTTTGACATATTCATACCTTATTTATGTTATTTTCTCTGAAAAAGTTATTTGCAGAAAATTGGCTGAACTTCCATATACTCTTATATGCTTTATATCTTGCTAAAAAAAAAGATAAGGAGATATGAGATGTAATTAGTATTATTATATGATACTAAGAGTTCTATGAAAGCATATGTAAATAAAACTTTCGTATATTTTTATATATAGATCTACTAGAAAGACATATAGTTAGCTTTATGTTTAATGATCTTAAAATTGCAGATTCCTTAGCCTTTCATAATATATGCTTTTATCATTACTATTTATTCATAGGAAGGTCTTGTGTTATATATAGACCTCCTTTTACATTTTTCTCATATTTGTTTGAAAAAAAAAATAGAAGTAATTAGTAATGCTCTGAATGGTTCAGTTCAGTTTGGATTATAGGCCAATCTGAAACCAATCTGAAAATTTTGGTTCAGTTCAGTTCAGATTATAAATCCTAAAAATGCTAATCTGAAACTGAACCGAACTGTAAACCAGTAAAAATCTGAACTGAACTGAAAATTTCAGATTAATCCAAAATTTTACATCATTTGAAATGATTCTTTTATCATTCTTTTGAAATGATAACTTCAATCATTCTAAACGAACGATTCTTTTATTGTTCTTTTAGAACGATAACTTCAATCATTCCAATTGAACAATTTTTTTATCATTCGTTTAGAACGATAACTTCAATTGTTCCAAATAAACAATTTTCTTATCGTTCGTTTGAAATGATAACTTCAATCGTTCTAAATGAACGATTTTTTTATTGTTCATTTAAAATGATAATTTGATCGTTCCAATCGAATGATTTTCTTATCGTTCGTTTAGAATGATAATTTAATCGTTCCAATCAAATAATTTTTTTATCGTTTGTTTGAAACAATAATTTAATCGTTTCAAATAAACAATTTTTTTATCGTTCGTTTGGAACGATAACTTCAATTGTTCTAAATGAACAATTCTTTTATTGTTCTTTTAGATCGATAATTTGATCATTCCAATTGAACGATTTTCTTATCATTCGTTTGGAATGATAATTTAATCATTCTAATCAAACGATTTTTTATCATTCGTTTAGAATGATAATTTAATCGTTCCAAATGAACAATTTTTTTATCGTTCATTTGGAACGATAATTTAATCGTTTCAAATAAATGATAATTTAATCGTTCCAAATGAACGATTCTTTTATCATTCATTTGGAACGATAACTTCAATTATTCCAAATGAACGATTCTTTTATTGTTCGTTTGGAATGATAATTTAATCGTTCTAATCGAATAATCCTTTTATTGTTCATTTGGAATGATAATTTCATTATTCTAAACGATCTGAAATTTTGGATTAATCTGAAATTTTCGGTTCAGTTCAGATTTTTTTCAGTTCAGATTAGATTTATAATTTGAAAAAATTCTGAACCAAACTGAAAATTTTCGGATTGAAATTTTTTGCAATTCGAAACCGAACTAAAGTTGATCTGAACTGAAAATTTTTGGATTAATTCGAACCATTTGGAGCTTTAGTAATTAGCATATATATTTCTTTTGATTATATAAAAATTAATATAGCTGTGTAATCTGCATATTTTTGTTATATAGGAGTATATACATTGTGACTCAGCAAGTTCTTTAGTGATCACTGCTTTAAATTAAGGTTTTCCATCAATTCATCTAATGCAAGTTCTTTTAACCAACCAATATCAACTTTAAATATATTCTCAGTTAATAATTCTCTAAAGAATAGCCATTTGAGCTGTTCTTCATGATAGTTCATATTTTTATTGCACTCTATTAGTTTCAAATAAAAGTCTTTTACCATATCATTGCCTTAAACCAATTTCCTAACTTTAAAATTCCAGAGAGTTTTTCTTTTGATTAATTCAAGACTTATCTCTTTTCCCATACATCATTTATATAATAATTTTTTAGGTCTTAATATAAGAGATACTTTAGAATAAATAGTATTAATTCAGGCAGAAGCTGTTCTAGTAAATTAACTATATGTATTTTTATATGGTTAGAATTTATTTCAATCAGAAAAATAAATCTTCTAAGCTGATGATCACTGATCCAGATTAGGTAGATCAGTAGAGTATTATCATTCTGCTTGATTGACCAGTATTCTATCACCAGCTCTTAATATTAAGGTGGAAATAATACCTTAAGTTAAAGACTGACTAGCTATAGATGTATTGAAATTAGATTGCCAGAATATTTGAGATAGAACTGAATTTTAACTATTAGCATATTGATCAAGAAAATCACTAAATGCGTTAATAAAATCAGAAAGCGTTATAGTATTCATAAAATTCTTAATATTAATATTTAGATTAAGTAAAATGAACTGATCTACAACTTCTTTACTACTTATATAATACCTCTTTAAATTAAGATACTTTAAATTAAGACATGAACCAGCAATTTCATTGATAGTTATATCAGTAATTTTATAAAAGCTAAAGCTGAGATACTAAAGCCTTAGGTAAGAGTGAATAATATTACAAATTGATATTTCAGAAAACTCTATATGTAGAAATATTTAGACATTTTAATTTATGATATAAATTTGTAATTACATATAGACCTTTATCATTTTTTGATTTAAATCTTTCATGTATAGCAGATATATTAAGATACTTCAAATTTGGTATGATTTTGCTATTAGCTTTAGAATTTTACTTGTACAGTCTAGAGTTCTAGATGAATCGAGTTAACTTACAAGTCAGATAAGCTGAGTTGAGTTTAAATCAAGTTGAGTTTATGTTTTTTTAACTTAATGATTTACGAGTCAAGCCAAATTCAAGTCGAGTTAAATATTTAACTTAACTTAATTTAAACTCAATATGATTCAAGTTAACTTGAATTGACTTAAAATAGTATTATTTTTAAAGATGTTAAAATCCAGTCTGATCCTAGTCTGGTCCTGAAACTCCCAGTCCATAGAACTTGGATCTTAGGATTAGATTCTAGAACCAGGTCTTAAAACTGTAGTTCTAGGACTGCAATCCTATAGAAAAATAATTGTTTAAGAAGAATGATAAGAAATCGTTCAATTTTTGAATGATAAATAAATTGTTTAAGAAGAATAATAAGAAATCATTCAACTTGAACAATAAAATAATTTCATTATACCATTTTCTATGTTTTTAATATAATTTCAACAGTTTCAGTTTTCGTTATATTAAAAGGATTTTATTATATCTTTTATTATGATTTTAATATAGTTTTGTCTAAGTTTTGACTGTTATTAAGGGGTTTTGTCTTTCATTATTAGTTTGACTTGAATGATAAAAAAAATCATTTAAGAAGAATGATGAGAAATTGTTTGACTTAAATGATAAAAAAATTGTTCAAGAAGAATGATGAGAAATCATTTGACTTGCACGATAAAAAAATCATTCAAGAAGAATGATAAAAAATCGTTTAACTTGAACGATAAAAAAATCATTCAAGAAGAACAATAAGAAATCGTTTGACTTGAATAATAAAAAAATCATTTAAGAAGAACAATGAAAAATCGTTTAACTTGAATGATAAAAAAAATCGTTTAAGAAAAATGATAAAAAATTGTTCAACTTAAATGATAAAAAAAATCAAATCATTTAAGAAAAATGATGATGAATCATTCGACTTGAATGATAAAAAAAAATCATTTAAGAAGAATGATGATGAATCGTTCGACTTGAATGATAAAAAAATCGTTCAAAAAGAATGATAATTTGAATTGTTTGATTTGAACAATAAAAAAAATCATTCAACTAAAATGATAAAAAAATCATTCAAAAAGAATGATAATTCAAATCGTTTGACTTAAATAATAAAAAAAATCGTTCAAGAAGAATGATGATAAATCGTTTGATTTGAATGATAAAAAATTATTCAAGAAGAATGATGATGAATCGTTTTACTTGAATGATAAAAAAATTGTTCAAGAAGAACGATAACTAATCATTTGACTTAAACAATAAAAAAATTGTTCAAGAAGAATGATAACTAATTGTTCAACTTAAATGATAAAAAATCATTCAAGAAGAATGATGATCCAAATTGTTTGACTTAAATGATAAAAAAATTGTTTAAAAAGAATAATGATCTGAATTGTTTGACTTGAATGATAACAAATCATTTGCTCCTTTCCTCTCTTGATCTTTTCATTTTTTTTTATTATTTTTTTTCAAAATTGAATTGAGTTAAAATCAAGTTAAGTCAAATTGAGTTGAGTTTAAAATTTATATAATTTGAATTAAATCAAATTGAAAGATTTTATAAAATAAATTTGATTCGATTCAACTTGAAAAAAGAGAGTCGAATAGAGTTGATTTTTAAACTCAACTCAACTCGACTCATTTAGAATTCTAATTTTATCAATTTAATAGAAACACATCATAAAATATCTATATGTTATAAATATAGAATTAATAATTTTTATACTTCTTTTTAAAGTAATTTTAATAAGAAATAATTATATATAGGAGTTGTTTTATTAATTTCTAAAAAAAAAATAAAACAAATTATCACAAAAATATTTACTAGTAATTTAAGGCTTTTTTATGTTAATCTATTCCTAAAAGAACATATAAAGATTAGAATAATCAGTTACTTACATATTAATATTTATGATAAACAGACAATTTAAGAAAGGAAAACTTTATAACAAACTATTTTAGATATGTTAGATGATTATTATATGAAATAATATCATACAATTTTAATGGAAGATTTTAAACACTGATATTGATTTATATTATAATTATATAAACTCAACAAAAAAATAGGATAGAGAT